ACCTGGACCAATGGGCAGTACACACGTGGCACCCCATGGTTGGAAGCCCTGGGACTTATAAGCTAAGAGCAGGGGCCTCGGGAGAGAGAAGATGGAGAGAAGACGGATGCAAGAGAACAATAAAGAGCTGCGCAGAAAACCAACCAGTGGTCGCGTCATTCTTGCAGGCAAGGCTGCGCGTGACAGTCTTGCTCTGGGCTACCAGCAGAAGGGCAACACCCCCAACTTTTCTGAGCCTCCTTCCCAATCACCATTCCTTCCTGGCCCCACCCTGAAGAGACCAGATTTGGCCCTCTAGATTCTGGGGGCCTTATCTTCTCAGTTACTTTTTTCTTCTTGCTCGGACAAAATACCCAATACCCAAAATTAGGGAAGGAAAGTTTTATTTAGCTCACAGTCAGTGGAGGTTTCAGTCCACACTCAGCTGGCTCCATGGCAGGAAGGGCAGCGGTGGCAAAAAGCAAGAGCAAAGGGAGTGGCAGCAGCTCAGGCAGCTAGCTAACCTCTGTTCCCTCCTCACACTGTAATGCAAACTACCTGCCCCAGGGGAGGCTCAGCATCCACGTCCACAATAATCGATCAGAAGCCTCCCTATGACTGCATGAGGCTTTGGGGGGACAACTAGACAAACCATACACTTACACAAGCTCACCTGAACTTTAGTTGCAAATGCATTTGTGTTGACTAGAGATACAGGAGAGAAGGGCGCCAGCCACCCGTAGGGGTTCTTCGTTGCTTGTGAAAACACAAGCACCATATTTCAGTGGGACCTTTTTTCCCATATGAAAATGAATTATTGGGGCTGGGGAGGTAGCTCGGCAGTCTAAGCACCTGCCTGGCAAGTGCAAGGACCCGGGTTCGATCCCAGTATCACATGTCATGCCGGCCACTGAAACTGGGAGTAGTAGTGCACACCTGTAATCCCAGTGCTAGGGAGGCTGAGACAGGAGGATTACTGAGTCCAAGCTGTATAGTGAGACCCTGTATCAAATGAATAAATAGATAAAAGAATTTTTAAAAAACAATAAAATGAGTTATTAAACAATATGAAAACAACGTAAAGAATTCAGAAAATACAAAAAGCTGTAAAGAAGGGTTAACCCCACCTTACATCTCAGATAATCACTTTTCACTGTTTGGGACCAACCTTTGGACCTTTCTTTTGCATCCACCACATGCATATTTTTAAAAAAATGTGACAAAATGTGACTGTTTTATGATGTTTTATAAATCTTGGTCCATTGTCTGTCACCATATAAAACCAACTTAAAGCTTAGGGATATAAAATACCAACCATTTTCCTCTAGCCCATGAATTCTGTGAGCGAGAAGCTGAGACAGCGCAGGGGCCTGGTTGTGTGCTGTTCTATGAACAGCAAAACCAAACTGTGTGGAGAGGACTGGAATGCCGTGGGTCTGGCAACATCCGGAGGTGTCTGCTTCAGTTATGGACCATACCAAACAATTCCAGGCCCCATGGGATCGTTGCCTGGGCTTCCTGCTTCTGGCCTCATCCAGTGGCTTGGGTGTCCTCACAGTATGTCCTCAGGGTAGTCTTATGTGGTTAGTCAAAGGCTTAGGAGTGTGTGTTTCAGTAAACAATGTCTACTTCATGTGGTTTTTTATGACCTAACCTTGAATGACACTTCTGCAGTGCTTTATGGTGGAAGGAATAATAAGCACACCCACGTTGAGGGGTAAGGGGACAAGATCGCACTCTATGAAAGGAGTGCCAAAGACCTTGTGGGTATATTTTAAAACTTTAGTTGCATTTCACTGTGTATTTATGTAGCATAGACAGTGTACTGCATTGAGCTGTATCACCCCGAAAAGAGAGGCTCCGTTTCAAATCTGTCTCTATGAATGTGGTCATAGTTGGAAATAAAGTCTTTGTGGATGTCATCAATTTAAAACACAGTCATTCTGGATTAGGGTGGGCCATAACCTAATCTCTGCTGTCCTTGGAGGAGAGAAATTTGGACATAGAGCCCCAGAGAGAAAGGACACCATGTAATGATGGAGGCAGACATTGGTGTGACAAATCTACAAGACAAGGGAGGACACCAAGGAGGGCTGGCAACTCCAGAAACCTGGAAGAAGAGCCCAGCAAGAACCCCACCTTGGAGTCCTTAGAGGGAGGATGGCCTGGATGACCTTGATTTGGGGCTTCTAGCTTTCAGAACTATAGGTGTAAAAACATCTGTGGTTTGCAGCTATTCTGGGTTGTGACAAGAACTTTATCACAGTGGCCATAGGAAGCAAACAGTTACCCACCTCTATACTGATCTACAGCATCATTTGATAGAGGTACAGTATCCATGCTATACTGTACGCTGATCTTCATGTTTGTTACCAATCTTAAGTAGGGCTAAGAAATGCGGCACTAATTAGCATGATATGACAATCCACACAATGAAGTGGATGGCTAATCATCTTTCTAATAGACTTTCATTGTTTCCTCCATTGGACAGAATATAGTTATAGAGTTAGCACCCAGTAAATACTGATTAACTTGTCACCACACGTAAGAGCTTATCAGAATATATAAGGGCTGACTGCCTACAAGTATAATCACAAAGGAGTCAAAATCTTAAGACTATTAAGACCCAGGTGTGGTGACACATACCTGCAATCCCAGCCCTCTGGGAGGCTGAGGCAGAGGGATTGCAAGTTCAGGCCCAGTTTGGGCCACTTAGTGACTTAGCAAGATCCTGACTCAAAATAAAAAATACGTAAAAGGGCGGGCATGTAGTTCAGTGTGAAGACCCTGAGTTCAATTCTCAGTACTACTTAACAAAAAGGATATTAAGAACTTGAAGATTTTGTCTCTTCTGGAGACTTAACTTATGGAAAAGATAAAAACTTTAGCCTCAAAGAGTGTTGTTTTAAAACTTCCAGTATTTTAAGTGAAAATGATTAGAATACCAGAAGGTGAAAACCCAGTGTGGTTGGCAGAGTGACACTTCCAGTTCCCCAGCTACAGAATCACATTTGAACACCCACGCCTCTGTGCCAAGGGTTAAGAAATGCTTCCGAGTTGCGCTCTGGGCCGCGAAGGTCCTCCACACATCACAGGCCGCGGCCTCTTACATCTTTCTGCTTGCTCGTTTATTTGTGAGGTCTGGGCGGGAGGAGGCCTCCCGGTCTTTCAAGTTTCCGCGTCTCTCGTTCACTCTTTGACCCCATTTGTGACTTTCTGTACCCCCAAAGGTGGGCAGGCACAGGGTGACCCTGGAGAGGGGCCAGGGCCCTCCCTGTCCTGGGGGCAGGAAGTCAGCGCAGTGGAAAGCTGTAGCTTCCCCAGGAGGCTGCGAGCCCTAGGGCTGAGAAGCTTCTAAAATGTGCCTGGGGGAAAGTAAAGCGTGTCTAAATTCTAGATGCTTGGCTGTACTTTTGCCGGTTCAAGGGCTCCTATGGCCCTAAACACATCTGTCTGGGTGACTATTTGGAGCATGGGAAAAGCTGTGTGGTTCTGACAGCAGTACAGAAATCGCAAGACATCCTGCTTGCTTAGGGGTTCACTGAAGCGCGGTTGTTGGACTGGGTGGAGCTCTTCACATTCTCTGACCCTTCAGGTGCTGCGTCCTGAGAGTTGCCGTCACAGAACTTCCCTTTTTTCTCTTGGGGTGAATGGACTTGTGTTTGTTACCCGGATGGAGTGTTGCTTTTTGCCCCTGTCAGGGCTGAGGTCTGTGGTCTGGGTGGGCAGGGCTGTGCCTTCAGCCCTGGCTGGGAGAGTGCTGTCTACTGTGTGTCAACTGCAGGATCAACCAGAAACCCAAGCTGGCAGGAAGGAAGGATGCAGTTGCAGCCCCTGGTCCGTGGCTCCCCAGCATCTAGGCCCCTTCCTCTTCATTAACAAGTCCTATTGTTGTTTGAAATGGGGAAGAGGACTGCCCAGCCCTAGTGATCGACTTACTCAGGGTGAGAGCCTCCTGTTTGCCTGGACCCGACAATGTGAGTGTCCTGGCCATTAAGGGTCTCTGAGGAGCTTTGTGCTTTGCCTAATAAAGATACAATGTGAGACTATTAATAATTTATTCTTTTTTTATTTTTTAACTGCCTCAGGACTTGATTTCGGGAGTTGCTGCAGCCATGTCATGACAACAGAAAGGAAAGGCGTGAAGGAAGGGCCAGGGCCATCTCCCAGTCACCAGTTGTCATGTCAGAGGCCCCCAGAATCACTGGAATTGACTGTCTAACTCCTCTCTTCTTGCCATTTAAGTTATTCTTGACTCTGCTGATCACCACATAGGTGAACACATTTTTAAGTAATAAATGTACGCATCTCAAATTCTATCCCACATATAGAACTACTGAGTACTTTGAACCTAGTGCACAAGAGGCCCCCCTTTGTATCTGTAGCCTGGGGTAAATTGGCCTCCCATGAGCAAGAAATGACCTCATATTTTATCTTTAACACATACATAAAGGTTGAATTCTATTTTAGAACATAGTGCTTATACTTATTTATAAAAATATTCAAATTGTCATTAAGGAAAATAAATCTTAAAACGTTTTTTCCTATTACTTGTAAAATTCCTACTCTAGAAAGAGGTTGTTTGGTTTTACTAAGGCTTTGAGTATCTCTGACCCTCTGCCCATACCTCTAGGGTACCAATACAGCAGTTTGGGAAGCACCAGTGGAAGAAGCAGAAGAGATGGAGGAGACCAGGTAGGTAGAGCTGGATATTGATGGCCTGTGGGTGGCATGGTAAAAAATGGAGTCTAAACTTTAGAATCAGGAGAAGCCTCAGAACACAGAGCCTCTAGGAGATGGCACAAAGCCCAGCTTTCTAAAGACGGTGTGAGGTAGAAATTAGCTTACACAAGACCATACCCAGGAAGAGCAGATGAGAGACTGCTGTAGGGAACGAAATCCAGTTCAGCTATGAGTAACAGGTAAAGGAACAGCTTACATAGTCCAGAGCAGCAAACTTAGCTCATATTAGTCCAGTGATCACTGGCTGAAGAAAAACTCCCCCAAATTCAGTGACTGAACACAATTACAATTGTGTTTTCCTCATAAATGTGCAATGCAGGCAGGGCATGGTGAGGTCAACTCTCTACTCCCTACTGCATCAGCTCTGTAACCTGATGGCTGTGGGGCCTCCGCAGCTGGGGTGTGGAACCATGCACAGGTTTGGTCACCCACATCCCTGATGGCAAGCGCTGGTTGTCACCCAGTGCCTCGTGAGGCTGTGGTTGGAAACACTGACAGGCAGCTGCTGCAAGTGGCTGCTTGGCTCCTCCCAGCATAGTAACTGGTGCTAAGGGACTTGGGAAGAAATAAAAAGAGGAAGCTCTCCATTTTCTAAGATTTAGATCCCACATGCACTTAGAAATCTCTGTAGGCTAAGCAATCTCAGTGCCTGTATTCAGGTTCAGTGGTATGAACTGAACTTCCCAGTAGCAGGGCCTCTGAAGGATGCTGGAGTCATGATTGAAAGCCACCATGCATGGGTTAGTCAGAACCTAGTATTAGAACCACCTCTGTTGGCAATGGGGGCTGGAAAATGAAGTCTTTATTTATGAGATAGGAGGCCTAGCTAAAAATAGAGACTTATTACCATGGAGAAATGAGAAAATGGATATTAAGGATAATTAGCATTCTTTGCAACTGACAACAAACCACAAGTGACTTAAAGCTGGAATTAGGGAAGCAGGTATGGAAAAGGAAAGGAAGAATGTTAGGAAATAAGAATTAGTCGGGTTTCAGATGACTCGGGCTGCCATTTATTGGGGGTGAGGGGTTGGGCGTGCATGTGTTCAAGTATGAAATATCTAGCAAGATATACACTCTATTTCTGAGGCCAGTCTGGTACCAGCTGAGGTTTTAGACATTAGTCAAGTTCAGCCTGATACTTCCTGAGCCCAGGGGCAGATTCAGAAGAATTTTAAACACAGAGTAGCATAGTGTTTTAAAAATGGCCGTCATAAGACTATTAACACTACTTCTCCTCAGCACCTCATGACACCAGTTCCAACCTGGTGAGCACTCAATAAACAGAACGTGGTGAAGGAGACAGTGTGACTCCTTGGGGGAGGTCTGAGAGGGATGCCCTGGCTGCACTGGGATACATGCTTTTGGAGCCCTGAGGGATCACAGGAAGATTCCAGCTTCCTCTAAAACTGCCATGCAGCAAAGAAAGAGATGTCCAAGCAGCCCCAGTGGGTGTTTGAGTGGAGGAATGGAGGCTACACCACCCCTAAGGGATGTCGGCTTAGCATAGCAGTTGTGCTGAGGTGAAAGCCCTTGAGAAACACACGCACAGGAAATGCTAATAGCCTTTTGGTCAAAGCAGGCTGTAGGACTTCCCAGGAAGAAAAGAAAGTTGTTCTCCCTGTGCAGAGATGAGAAGACCCTTGTCACTCGTGCCTGGAAGTCAGGTCTACAGTAGACATACTCAGAATGACTAAACTCACCCTTATCTTCTAGTTTCACTCCCCTCATATCTCCTAGTGACTGCCCTGTAATTTATTGCCCTTAGCTTAGACCCATTTGTCTTGTCATTTTTTTTTCCCACAAATTTATCATTTATTTGCCTTAAAAGTATAAAAGTTTTTTGTTTTGGCCATTTTTTAAGACCTTGAGTTTCTTGTGACAGTGCCTGTGTATATGCAAAAATAAATAAAATTTATATGATTGTTTTTCCTATTAATCTCTCTTATGTCTGTTTAATTCTTAGATCCATCTGAAGACTTCCAGAGGAGGGAAGGAGAACTTACTGTTTCCCCAACACTGGCTTGGGTAGCAGACATGTGCGTAGGTATGGATCCATTAGCACATGGAGCAATTGTCCTGTGCTGTTCTGTTACCATAATAACTGGGATACCAAAGAACATGAGGTCTTTGTAGCTTACGTCTCTCCCAGGCTTAGGATTCCTCAAGAGCAAGGGTTGAGATCCCTTTCAGAAGAGTGCCTGATGGGAATAAACTTTTTGGGCAGTGTTTCACCTCTCAAGACCTATCTGAACAGTGGCTGCCCCCATCACAGCATACACCAGGCATTGATCCACAGGCTTTGCTTTAACGGTCCTAAGGGGCGGGGAGTATAGAATGTTTTGGCTCTTAGTGATGTTTAGCTTCCTAAGTGTCTTCCTCCTGACGTGATCTTCCTGACACCATCCTATGCAGCAGCGTGGTAGTGTGAACTTAAGTCTTGCTTAGTTGTTGCCACCATCTTCCTCTCCTTTCTGGAGTGCCACGTCAACCTTGCTTGCTTTATCTGTAGTGTGCAGCAAATATCTGCCCTGTTCTAAATAGGACTGGATTTTGAGCTTGAGCTTTGAAATTCAAGGATCCAACTCCATTAACTCCTAGCTATGAAGGCTTGACTTTATTTTAGGAAGTGTCTCCCACTTGTGAAACGAGGGATTAGGAAACCTGTGTTATGAACAAATGCTATAGGAGTGCGAGGATGAAAGTCATAGAGATGCTTCATGAATCTATGCTAAAATATCCCATTGTCCCACCTTTTCTGTTTTAGCTGCTATTAGGATAAACATCAGACTGCCTGATCCCCAGGGAGCAAAAGCTCTTGGGTAGACTGAGCAGAATCCTTGGCCTGGGAGTTTTGCTTTTCAGAGAAAGCTTTTTTTTTTTTTTTTTTTTTTTTTTTTTTTTAATGGGGGAATAAGTTGAAGCCCAGAGTGGGTAAGCAGTTTGTCCAAAACAGTATCGCTAGTTCATGGCAGAACCAGGATTAGTATGACAGAGATTGTAATTGTAATCTGCCGGGTTGACTCAACTGAGAACCCTCTACCAGATTAGTGGTGCCTGAGTGTCTATGAATGATTGACTCGTAGGCTTGGAACGGAGGGGGGAAGACCCACCCTGGATGAAGGTGATCCCAACCAATATGCCTGCAGCCTGGGTGGAATGAAAAGGGAAAGAAGGAAGTCTTCCCTTTTCTGGAAGGGCTGTGGCCTTTACCATGGCCTTTAGACACTTGTCTTCAGGCCTCCCATTCAGACTCCTCCAGCCTTCGAGGGCAGATTCTTTGACCTTCCAACATGGACCTGCATCAGACTCAGCAGGAAACTCTGGGCCTTTGACCTGGGAGTGGATCCTTTGGCCCTCTAAGGCTCAGATGGCTGTTGGGAATTTTTCCTTATGTGACCCTGTAAGCCTCTCTAGCAAATTCTTTATATAATCATATTTTTTTAATATTAAATCTGGTCCTCTAGTGAACCTTGACTTCTCTTTTTCTTTCAGTTCTATATTATCAGGCAGAATAAAGTAACTCAGGAGAAGAGACTCAGGGCACTAGCAGCAATGGAGGAACGGGAAAGTAAAAGCTGTAGACTGGACTTTTCGAAGGCATGTGGACCTGGGGGGAGGGGCTGAGACTCCGTAAAGGCCAGCAGGAAGTGGGGCAAAGTGCCGCATGGTCATTTCCTCCCCTCTTCTCTCCTCACTGTTCTGGTGGTGTGCATAGAGACTGAGGAAGTGGCTATAATGTTGCCTGTGGTTGTAGGCCTAAGAGGCCTAAGATCTGTGAGTCCACACTGAAGAGGTGAAGCGGATCGGATCCACACTTGACACAAAACAAGAGAGCACAGCAGGTTGCTCCCTAGCCCGCAGATGCCCTGTCCCTCCCAGGCTGTCTGCGCCAGCCCTCCCTCCAGTCTGTCTGTGCTCTCTGCTTCTGGGGAAGAGCTTTTCCCAGAGCAGGGGGAGATACTGGGCCGCATGGTACACACTACTTCCGGAAGTCAGGTGAGTTCCGTCCTCACAGCTCTTCCACCAGAGCCCGGGAATCAAGTCTGCCAAGTGCAATGTGGTCCCTCACAACCAGTTTTAATTTCTGTATGCCAGGGTGGCTTCTGCTGGAGAAGGGAGGAGAATTAAACCTTTCTCTAAACAAATTTTCTCTTTATAAAGCCAAGGACAGAAGCTAAGATCCGAGTGTCTTCGTGCTGGACATGCCAGTCCCTTCCTCCTTGTCCCCAACAGTGCCTGGAACCTTTCTGGAGACTCTGCCCCTTCACAGTCCAGCTGCAGAGGCCCCATGGCCCTGCAAGGGACCTTGTCTCAAAGGGAACAGCTGATCAGCCCATGAGGAGCCCAGTTATACGCCGTGGAAGAGGCAGCCAGGGTCACAGAGACCAAGAAGCAAGTGCTGCCGTCGTAGGGAGCCAGTTGGACCTGCTCTTCCGAGACCCCAGAGTGAATCCAGAGCAGCATTAGGTGACCCCACAATCCCAGGGAGAGAAGGCAACAGATTGTCTTAGTCATTTCCCTGTCATGGGATTTATTTTGGCCCATGGTTGTGATCCTTAGAACCTACTAGGCTCCCAGGCAGAGACAGCATGCTAGAGGGGCGTGGTGAGGACAGCTGCCCCACACTCTGTGGCAGCCAGGAAGAGTGTTTGTGCTTGTGGGTACACACACACACACACACACACACACACACACATACACACTCAGAGGGAATGAGGGAGAAACAGAAACCAAGGACAAATGCACCATGTTAGGCCACACACAGTGACTCAGAGACTCGCCTCTTCTAGCCGGGCCCTACCCGCTAGCCCACATTAGCTACTGACTCACGAAGCGCTGGATCCGCTGAGAAGTGCAGCATCCTGGGGTCCAATCGCATTCTGCAAGCCCCCGCTGAGGCCTTTGGAGGACATTTCAGACCCAAAGCATAACACAGACACTTTCCTTCTGTCTGTATGGGGCCAGCTACTCTTTCTTTTCTGTTCCTGAAAGATGCCCCAGACCCTTAGACTAAATTCCTCTTCACTCCTATGAGCCCGAGAGGTTTGTATGTCTTGCAGCCAAGCACTCTCAGTTAAGAAACCTACTGTGTGCAGTGCTGGGTGATGTCAGGGAGACCACAGTGATTGGCATCAGGAGGGACTTTGGACTTTGGTCCTTTTCTTGTGATGTCTTCTCTTACCCCACTTGTACTTACAGCCACACACAGGTGAAATGTCCTGTTTCCCTTCTCAGCTCATATAAGAACTTAATTATTGCCCTGCGTGGCACTGGCAATCAAATCCAGGGACACTCTACCACTGAACTATGTTCTATCCCCTTTAAAATTTTTTTATTTTATTTTAGGGCAGGATATCACACAACAATACAGATGGAACTTGAACTTGTAGTCCTTCTGCTTTAGCCTCAAGAGGTGCTGGGATTACAGGTATGTGTCACCATGCCTGGACTTTACAAGCCAGTTATTCAAAGCTTTTTAATCTTTCTTTCTACCTAGGCTGAAAACATACCTATGCCGAGAACCATGTCACATGTATTGTCTGTAACTCCTAACAGACATAGTTTAGCTAATACGTGTATCACAATTTGTTGTTAAATAGCAGAGAAAGCGAACATAGACCGAGGGGCCAATTCAGTTATGTACTTTAATAAGTGGACGTTTCCCTCTTTCCCTCCTCTTGTGTAGTTTCCTGTTCACTTGGAGTTGGCGAGACTCTGGATTCAGTCAAGCTTCCTGTCCTCAGCCAAGTGGAAGGTGATGTGAGAGTCTAGAAAGTAGGAGCCCAGCATTGTTCAGCCACTGAAGGCACTGCTGGCCGGGAAGGGACGTTAATCAGATCTGGGAAAGAGTCTCCCGTGCTCCCCTGGGACCTGGCGGCAGGTCCTGGGAGGGCGTGGCTGCCCAGGGAATCCTGTGAAGAGTGCATTTTCTTCCCTTTCAAAGAACTTTTCTCTTGAAAAACAAACAGCAATTTGTACACGTAGGAACTGAATGAAAGAAACATATTTTCCTGACCACCCAAGTTCTCATTCGCCAGCTGTACCGAGTAGCTGTCTCAGCGATGCTTTTTCTTTAGTTCACAGGCAGGCGTATTTAATGAGTCCACGCAGCCCAGGCTGGGTTACCATGGCGGAAACATTTTAAGAATTTTTGGGGAGAGAGAGAAGAAGAGGGAGGAGAAGAGAGGGAGGGAGGGAGAGAGAAACAGTGGGAATTTTAAAGCTGGTCAATAAAATAAAAACTTTCATGACACAGCTTTCCGAAGGTCAGCCGTAAGTGTTAATTAGTCCTTGTCATTTTGCCTCTTTAAGATCAGATTTGCATGTGTGGTTTGTGTCTAGTTTTGTGGGGCTCTGGCATTTCAAGGACTGTCTTCAAGGGTGTTGCTTTGCTTTCCTGTTTCGCAGTGGCGGGGTCAAATGCAGACACCTGCAGATGTTCAGCGGCTTCCCTACCATGGAGCTCCGCCCGACCCTGAAAGGAAGGTCTTGATACTTTGAAAAAGTAGGGAATGTGTGGACTGCAAAAGATGTAGGCTGTTAGAATTTGAAGGAGATTCCCCGCCCCTCTCAGTTTTGCTAGAAACTTTCTTTTTAAAATTTTATGGTTTTATTTTCATTCTTTTAAGCTTCCCAGGGGCCAGGCAGTTCCAGCCTTAAGTTATTTTATTCATTCCATGGATAAGTGAAACACATACCTTCTAGTTAGCTAAGGACTAGGAAATATATTTTTTAAAGTATGGTAAGAATTCAAGCCAATTGAGGTCGTTTCCAGGGTTCCTTGCAAGTGCTTCTAACTACATTTGTCTGTGAATTGAAACTGCAGGTAGAAAAACTGGCCACTTCATTCCTTTTTCCTAAAAGCATTCATCCAAAGCATACTAAGCACCCTTCTGTCAGAGGCAAGGCTAAGAAGAATAAAGCACAACTTCCACGGGCACAGAAGTCACACGCAGAGGCCTGCTGCCAGGACGGAAGCGATCCGTGGTCTATTTCTTGGCTAAATTAAAAAATCAGTTTCACATATCGCAGCAGGACCTAGCTTGGGAATTTTAGCGTTTGCCTTGGGGAGACTGTTAATGAGCAAGGACGGCTGTCAGTGGCATGAACCTGGGGCAGGGTTCCCCTGGAAGGGCAGTGCAGGTGTGCCTGCCGGAGGACCGGCCACCGTCCTGAGGGAGCAGGGGACTTGGAAAGGCAGGGGGAAGGCTGGCGGTGCCCCAAGGAGGCAGAGGGCCACTCCAGCGCTGTGGATTGAGGGGCCTGATTAGCCAAGCTGAGCTGCACCTTTGGGTTCTGTGACAGGCATGTGTCCTGGTCCTCTTCTGTGTCCAATCCGTGTGAAGAAGTAACATGAACAAATCCTGGATAAATACAGCTGCATGCCAGCTTTTATTTAGGAAGATTAATCTGGTCCCAGTGTGGGAAAGATTCAAAAAAGGAAGAAATTTGAGGTGGAGGCAGGGTTAAGAAGCAATTGTCAAAAAAAGAATGAGTATTTTAGGAATTGAGCTGGAACTGCTATTGCTCTAGGGTCACAGATTCCAAAAACAATGTGAAAAGGGATGCCCCTGTCCCCGTGGCCACACCTGAGTTTCACTTCAGAGTGAATGAGAATGGAGGGCTGGCAGCCTCAGCACCCTCGTCAAAGGTTTCCCTGGGCTCAGCTCTTCCCTGACTCTGCTCCCGCCTGTCCCCAAGGTTTTTTCTCCTCCCCTGTCCTGGCAACACGCTGCGGCTCCAAGCTGCAGCCACCAGCCAGTGGCTGATCATTCGCTTAATCCCCTGAGCAGATGGCACCTTCCTCCAGAGGCTTCCTGTGTATCAAAGTCCTCTGCGTGGGTAGAGGCTGTTTTATTGAACTCAGTCTCTGTTCTGTTCATTGTTGTGGTGGAGCAGCAATTGCCTCCTGTGGATCAGATCTGAGACCTGTGTAGTTCCTGGGGGAAATCTGGCCTTCCAGCTTAAAGTTTTCCCTTCATCTTGTTTGAAAAAAAAAAAAAAAAAAAGAAAAGAAAAAGAAAAGGAAATGGTGTAGGCTTCTGGGTATTTTCATCTCTTCTCCTTTATTATATTTCTAAAAGCCTCTCAGATGGAGGCAGATGCCTGTGTCCTAACCCAACTATTTGTGGCCAATCAAGAACACTCTTAGAAATTCTAAGACATCCCATGAGCGTCGGCTGCAAAACGTCATGGCGCAGTATTAGATTCTTTCATCGATAACATGCTTCTAAACTTTTGTGTTTGTGTCACTTCTTCAAAATATAGAATCTTTATGATTTGAAGAAAAATAAAAACTATATGATGTTATCACCTGCTCACCTTGGCAGCACAGCTACCAAAAATAACAACATTATCACTAGCTTTGGAAGATATTGAGTCACAATAATTGGTTTGGGGGTAGTTGTAAGTGTGTTTCAGTCTCTTCTCTTGTCCAAATGGTTCCCATTCCTGGGAATCTGGTTCAAGTCCTTTCTTTATAACACCTTCTCTGAATTAGTACAGCATGTATGCACCTGCTTGCTGAGCTCCTATAATGTTACGTAGCCAGAACTGTACAGCTTAGTTCTTCACTGTAGGCTGCCTTCCACCGTTCTATCATTCATCTCACCCAGATGTTAAGACTTTTCTCCTAACTACTGAACATACTCGTAAGGCTGTACCAGTAGCTATTTGATAAACACTTAATGAAGGAGACCATTGGATGTCTACTTGCGGCTCATTTCAGGAGCCAGATGTGGCCTGTGTCCTTTCTGCAGGATGGGCTCCAGGTTGGCATATTCCAACGCTTGCCATGAGGAGGATGGTTGGCACAATGACCTCTATCACTGTTTACAGCTATGTATAGCAGGGGAACCAGGATCAAGGGCTTTGGGGCCAGCAAACCTGAGCCCAGAGCTGTTTTGCACTTATTAGCTGTGTGACACTGGACAAGGTATTTCACCAAAGCTTGGTTTCCTTGCATTCAAATTGGGAACCAAAGTAGTACCTATTTCCTAGCATATTGTTTTGAGGAATAATAAAATTTTATGTAGAATCATATGTTGTACTTGCC